CGTACCTTTTGTGGTGGTTTGATGATTTGTAGGCTTGCACATCACACTCTGGAGATGAACTATTTAAACAAATCTAGATGGCTTTATTGGTCCAAGTGAAATTCACTCGCAAGAGGTGCTTCCTGCAGGCTTCAGGGAGGAAAGAAACAAAACTGAGAAAAGGAATGATACATTCAGAAGCAGACCAGGCTCTCTCACCCACCCAACTCCAGGGAACCATGGAGAAGAAAGAGCTAATCTGCCTCCAATGATGGATTTCTGTTTCTTACTTTCACAGACTGCAAGAGGTTCAGCTCCATCAGTCTCTCTTCTGGATCTCTCAAGACAACAATGAAATGATAAAAAGCCAAAGGCCCACAGCCTTCATTTTAAATATTCAGAACTTCATTTCACTCACGCCAGAGAAAATCAAGAGCAACTCTACTGCACTCAATGGAGTCGCATCTGCATAAAACAGATACAAGAGGCGCATAGTGTATAAAGCCATGTAACTCACAACTCTCTTTAAATTTCTAAGGGGTCTGTCCAGGGCTGTCCCTAGCCATTTTGGTGCCCTACACAGCCCCCCCACAGGGTGTGTGTGGGGGGCCCCAGGCCTCCATGGGGGGGGGCAGGAGCAGGCTTGAGGGGAAAAGGGGGGAACCGCCCCCCAGCACAAGCCGGCAGAGCGGAGTAGGTTGGAGCTGGGTCACTCCACTTCCTGCCGCCTGGTGAGCGCAGGGCAGGCCCGACCCCGCACTCATAGGGTGGCGGGAAGTGGAGTGACCCGGCCCCAGCCTGCTCCGCTCTCCTGGCTCCCAGCCCTTGGGGCTTGGGGGAACCATCCCCCAGCACTCACTGGCGGCGCGGCTGGGAGCGGGCTTGGGCCCATTGTGTTAGGAGCGGTACAAACATGCCATAAATGACAGTCCTTACCCCAAAAAGACATTTGCTCTTTTCTGATTGGTTGTTTTCTTTAATCTAAATGAAAAGCAATTCAGAGGGCGTGTGTGTGTATAGAAAGAGAGCAGAGAAAGGAGTGAAAGGGACAGAGAAAACGGGCCAGGGGCGAGAGGCAAACAGAAGACTGGTCTGAAGATGGAAGAGAAAAAAGGGATAGGAGAGGACCTGCTGTACTTTATGGGGAAAGCACATAAAGGAAAGCATAAGAGAGAGAACTACCTTAAGTCCTGTAATGGGTCACAGTTCCTATTCCTAAAGCTCCCAGCAGTTACTGCTTGCTCTCTCTCCCTCTCCTGGCTCCAACCGAGATGCTGTAATGAGACTTCTTAGCACATGCGCAATGTTCCTCAGGGAGCACGTGACCAGGATTCATCACTGAATTTGGTCCGCTGTTTGGATCATTATTTTCCCTGGCCCAGGAACAACCGGAGAAGGAGCTGGGTTGCCTGCCTCCTGCTCATAAAGATGCACATTACATTATTACCAACTCCAGGTCTGCTGACAGAAATTCCGGTCTGCTGA